TCCCATCCCCTGGGAGTGGACGACACTCCCAGCTTCTGGCAAACAGGGGCTAGGGACACTCAAAAGAGCATAGTGTTGCATTCCTGACCATCCTGGTTACTAGCCATTGATGAACCTATTCTCCATGAACTTACTTAGTACTTTTTTGAACCCTGTTAGAATCATAGAATATCAGCGTTGGCTGATTGACATTGACTTCCAGCGTTGGAAGGGATCAGGAGGTCATCTAGTCCACTCTCCTGCTGCTCAAAGCAGGCCCAATCCCCAATTTTTGCCCCAGATCCCTAAATGGTCACCTCAAGGATTGAACTCTCAACCCTGGGTTTAGCAGGCCAATGCTCAAACCACTGAGCTATCCCCTCCCCTCTAGTCTTGGCGTTCACAACATCCTCTGGCAAGGAGTTCCACAGGTAGACTGTGTGTTGTGTGAATAAATACTTGTTCTGTTTGTTTTAAACTTGCTGCTTATTAATGTCATTAGATGACACCCGGTTCCTGTGCTACATGAAGGACTAGCTAACATTTCCTTATTCATTTTCATAGGAATAGAACAAGTTTAAAAATTACTTAGGCAAATTAGATATCTTCAAGTCACCAGGCCCTGATTAAATGCATCCTAGAATACTCAAGGAACTGACTGAGGAGTCATCTGAGCCATTAGTGATTATCTTTAGAAAATCATGGAAGACAGGAGACATTCCAGAAGACTGGAAGAGAGCAAATATTGTGCCCATCTATGAAAAGGGAAATAAAGACAATCCAGGGAATTACAGACCAGTCAGCTTAACTTCTGTACCCGGAAAGATAATGGAGCAAATAATTAAGCAATCAGTTTGCAAATAGTTAGAAGATAATAAGGTGATAAGTAACAGCATGGATTTATCAAGAACCCATCCCGTCAAACCAACCTGATAGCTTTCTTTGACAGGGTAACAAGCCTGTGGATAGGGAAGAAGCAGTAGACGTGGTATATCTTGACTTTAGTAAAGCTTTTGATACTATCTTGCATGACCTCATAAACAAACTAGGGAAATACAACCTAGATGGAGCTACTATAAAGTGGGTGCAAAACTGGTTGGAAAACTGTTCCCAGAGTTTGCAGACGATACCAAGCTGGAGTTGCAAGTGTTTTGAAGATAGGATTAAAATTCAAAATGATCTGGACAAACTGGAGAAATGGGCTGAAGTGAATAGGATGAAATTCAATAAGGACAATCAGTTGTTGCACACATACAAAATGGGAAATGACTGCCTAGGAAGGAGTACTGTGGAAAGGGATCTGGGGGTCATCGTGGACCACAAGCTAAATATGAATCAACAGCATAACACTGTTGCAAAAAAGGTGAACAATTCTGGGATGTAGAAGCAGGAGTGTTGTAAGCCAAATGCGAAAAGTAAATCATCTGCTCTACTCTGCACTGATTAGGCCTCAACCGAAATACTGTGTCCAGTGCTGGGCACCACATGTCAGGAAAGATGTGGACAAATTGGAGAGAGTCCAGAGAAGAGCGACAAAAAATGACTAAAGATCTAGAAAACATGACCTTTGAGGGAAGATTGAAAAAAATATACTTTTTTTAGTCTGGAAAAGACAAGGCTGAGAGGGGACATAACAGTTTTATCAAGTACATAAAAGATTGTAACAAGTAGAAGGGAGAAGATTTGTTCTTAACCTCTGAGGATAGGACAAGAAACAATGAGCTTAAATTGCAGTAAGGGAGGTTTAGGTTGGATATCAGGAAAAACTTCATAACTGTCAGGGTAGTTAAGCACTGGAATAAGTTGCCTAGGGCGGTTGTGGAATCTCCACCATTGGAGATTTTTAAGAGCAGTTTAGATGGACACCTCTCAGGAATGGTCTAGATAACACTTAGTCCTGCCATGAGTGCAAGGAACTGGACTAGATGACCTCTCGAGGTCCCTTCCATTCCTATGATACTATGATTTTCTTCACACCATTCACAATTTTATAGACCTCTATCATATCCCTTTTTAGTCATCTCTTTTCCAAGCTGAAAAATCCCTGTCTTAATTAATTTCTCCTCACATGAAAGCTGTTCCATACTCCTAGGAAAAGTGACTAGTCACGACTTGGTCTGTGGGGGTGGAGGAGGCTCAGGTGACTTAAACACATGTGGGATCCATTAGTTGTTTACTCACAAGACTGGTGTCTTTGCAAAGAGAGGGACTGGGGCAGGTTCTGACAGTGGAATTTTGTAAAAAAAGCAATTCAACCAATTTTAACTTTAGATTAAAATTGATATTTCAAATTAGCTTTACAAAGCCTAGTTTAAATAAATGCTTTAAAAAAAATTAAATGAAGGTGATTTAAATTGTTCCACTCTGTAGATAGGTTAAAAATAATGCCCTAAATTTCACCCAGAAATCTTTTGTCAGTCAATGTAGATCCTAAAGCATTTATGTAATACTCCATTTAATGAGTGGACTCTTTTTCTGAATAGGTATAGTTTAAGTGGTCTCTTAATAGGCTCAAGTTAGCTGCATTACTGCAGGTGATAGAGGCATAGATAATTGTGGCAAGGTTCATTTGGAAGCAGAATGTGAACAGTGCTCATGGCCACGTCCTCTAAGTCCTTGCCTGTAGTTGAAATGTTGGTTGCATGCTCTGCCAGGAGCCCCAGTATAATTTCTTCCAACTACAGGGTGATGTTTAACATAATGATCATATCACAGCCCATATCTCCTCACTGACTCTTCCAAGGGCCTCGTTTGCATGTTGGTCAGGAGGGGCTGACAGTACAGACACCTATCTCCTTCATAGGAGAGAAGCCTCATAGTAGAAGGTTTTGGTGTGGAACTGTAACTTTCTGATCTCTCAAAGATGGGACCGCTCCAAACAGAATTCATGCCTACCCGGTCAGTAGGCAAGTTAATGGAACCTCATAGTCAATGATTTCAAAAGCTGCTGACTGATCTGGTGGGCATAGATGTTCTAGGTTCCTCCACTGCAAGGAGGAAATCATTGAATAATGCCACTAAAGCTGTTTCTAGCCCATACCTGTGCTTAAACCCCAATTGGACAGGATAAGGGAAATTAAGAAACCAACTAGTGATAATCTCTGGAAAAAGATATTTTCTCGAGTAGGGGGCCTCAATAAATGCTTTAAGAATTACAAGCATGTGCCTTCCACTTACAAAAACTGTTAAATCTCAATCAGCAGTGGCTCCAGTAACTACTTGATGGCTTTCAACACCCAGGTAGGGCAAAAGGTCCAATTCACGCTGTAGCTTGAAGCCACCCCAAGTACCTTCATAACACTGAGTTTTTACCCTCAGCCTAAATGCCAGATTCAGACTGCACCCAACTTTATGAATAAAGCGTATAAGTGCATGGGACTCCCCGTGGTATTAGTACCTTTCTGAGCTGATCCATTTCTCCTCTTCCACAAAAAAACCCTAAAAATTAATTCTTTGGACAATGTCGACTTTGACATTGAATGCTGTTTCACAATGCTTTCCTTAAAGAACTTTTTCACAATCAGTAACTTCGATTCACAGAGATTGGTAGGTCCAAAACTGAGTGTTTTCTTCTCTACAAAGTTTGGCAATTCTTCTAAAATAAAACATCAATATTCTTGTGTTTTAAAATAAGAAGAAAATCCAAACATAGCCTTTCTATACATACAGGCGGCAATTTTACAATCAATGGGGCATAAGTGCACTTCAGTTCCTGCTCTTTGAGGTTGTTAGTAATAAGAAATGTTACTCATCATGCTATTAAACTGGAAAGTGTTCCTTGACAGCCTCATACAGTAAAGCTCTACAATAGGATAACTCTTTGAGAGAGCCAAACTCAAGAAGGGTCAGACAATGAAGATGCATAAGAAATGAATGTCATTGGTTAGAAAGAAATGAGAGGAAGCTGAATTAAGGGGATTAAAGTGTTTATGTGATTAGTGGAGCACCTGGTTTCAAGCCTGACTAATATAGCCAAATAGCTTAACCGACCTAAATGGGCCAAGTGAAGTATAATCTGTATGTGAATTGCCTTGACAAACACACTGTAACAACCTTGTAGTCAAAGGCCAAAATTCAGACCTGGGGTAAGTGGATGCAACTTCACTGAAGTTTTTGCAGTTTATGTACCTACGCATGTGTAGGCTTGGGAGGATTTAATTTTAATTTATAGATGTTGATAAATGTCTGTTTAAGATTATGCACTGAAATTGATGGAATAGAATATTGACTGGATAACAGTTGGCAGGATCTCTCTACAATTTGTAAACCTCTTCCTAGCATTGAAAAATCCACACCCCTGAGCAACGCAGTTATACTGACCTAACCCCAGTGTAGACAGTGCTTTGTTGATGGGAGAGCTTCTCCAGTTGACATAGCTACCGCTTCTTGTGGAGGTGGATTAACTATGCAAACGGGAGAAGTTCACCTGTCGGTGTAGTAGCATCTTCATTACAGTGCTTCAGTAGCCGCTGCAGCTTTTTAAAATATAGACTTGCTATGAGAGCTGCTTGAATTTTAGTATCCTTTGCTTAAAATGATTGCAGTCCTCTCCACCTGCTTTTAATGAACATGTCCGTGTATCTATATAGTATCAACTAAAGAGCTCTCCAATTACAAACTGTACCTAGTGTAAAATCTGGAATGGGTACCTTCTGGGAGAGATGACCGCTTCAGTTCCCGACTCTTGGCTAGGACAATCTAATAGCATAAACAGTTTTATCTATCATCCAGGAACAACTAAACTGATTAGTGCATTTTGTTAACATTATATGATTGAACTGTTACGTAATAGTGGTTTACTCACCCAGAGCACAAATAATTCTAAGTACTATGAGCTAGACAGCACCTCTTATGCAGAAGGATGACACCACTTTTAAAAAGTCTTTCTAAATACTCTGAGCTGGTGTGAAGGAAACAGACTTGTTATCCTGGTTGGTAAGACTTTGGGCAGTGGGGGTGGGGGAAGAACCTGTTATTATGTATGTTAGGATCATGAGAGTTTATTTTTGGATCTATTTCAGGACATTTCAACCAAGCACATCAAGTTAATTGGTATAAGAGGAATAGACCCTACACTGGAGCACTTGAGAGCAACTTATTAAGGTAAACAGGCTGCAGTGGATTTCTGGATGGGTGAGTATTGGGGCGGGGGGAGGGGGAATACTCCCTACCCCCTTTTTAAAAAAAAAATAGGTTACTTGCAGAAATCCACAAACATTTTTCCAGCCTTGAATAATCTTCTGTCATAAAGTACACAAAGATTTGATGGTATCATACATGCAAATTCAGGTATGTGTTTGAGTTACCTTTATATTCTTCCCAGTGCCTGCAGCAGCACCAATGCAGTTCATTTACCAACAGCTGCTGTGAACTCTGTTTCTATTCTGTCCTTTCCATTGGCCCCGATTATATATTTAGCCTTATATAATACATAAAAGAAAATATCCAGGGCTAAAGTTTCTTTTGGCTTATTAAAAATACAGTTGTACTCTTGCTAGTGTCTACAAGAATAAACCCAGCAGCCTCCCCAAAACCACAGAAAACAAAATGCCATGTGCGAAATGAGTAGTGGATGAAGGAACCTGCAGTAGCATCTGATGTTGAGAAGAGAGGAGATAGGAAATGAATCTCTTACAACTTGTTAAAGAATTTTAGAGAAGGAGCCAGGACCTCAAATGAGCCTCTCTTTCTCCTATCCCTTGCAGTGGTTGGAATTAAAGGGTGGCAAAGTCAACATTTTTCTTTCTTCCTTTAGCCAGCTATTCCAACGGTACTCTAAGTACTCTTACCCTCTTTTCCTTCCCCCACCACTCTTCAGCTGGGCTGGAACTGTATGATAGGGTTGTGCTTTCTAATTCAGACTGTGAAGTAGTCTTGGTTAGCCTACACCTTGAGAGCATTAGTTAGTCCATGCAATGCAAGTCCTTTACTAAGCACGTAATTTGTGCATTTGGTGTTGAGATGTTTTCATACCATTTTAAGAGGAATAAAAACTGGTAACTTAAAATATCCGTGTTCTTGATCTTGCCTTGCAGTTGAGCAGAGGCAATGCTATTTGACCTCATTGTGCATACAAGAGAGGTATGGGGATAGGAAATTAAGCCTAAGTATTAAATGGCAACAAAAAGGTGATAATTGTGCTAAATTCTATTGATGTTTCCAACATTTATCTTGCTAAACTTAACAGCATATAGCTGTTCTATTGGCAAAATTTCTGTGAAACTGGTAATGGACCTCCATTCTTACTAGTGTGTTATGATGTGAGAGTGGTGTTAGGTAGCATAATGAGTAAAAGTTCTTATGAAAGAGAAGATAGAGATATTGAGCTGTCATTAAGATCTAATTAAGAAGAGAAAATAACTAAAAGGCTAGACTTTTTAAATTTTATGGAATATTTGCTATTTAAGAAATTAAATCTTGTACTTAAATTACTGTTTCTCTTTTACTTACATAACAGCTTATCTGGAATGGACAGAAGTTCTCTGGGAGGATTAGAACTGTCTGAACATACTTCTGGTTTACTAGGAACTACTGCCATGGCAACCGGTCTTGCAAATATAGGAAATTCTTTTGGAGGTCCGCCTAATACTCTAGTTTCTAGAACTAATAAATTCCAAAACCCATCTATAGAAGATGATGATGATGTTGTTTTTATTGAACCAATTCAACCTCCACAGACTTCTACATCACTGATATCTGATCAGAGAAATACTGCATTTATTTCATTAAAAAGCGACGAGCTTCAAGGAAATGATTCCAAAATGCTTCCTCCTTCAAAAGACTTAAGTTCTCAAAAGGGAAGTATAAGTGAGACAATTATTATTGATGATGAAGAAGATATTGAAACAAATCCAGGACAAGAGAAGAATGCTTCCAATTTTAATGAACGAAGACTTCCAGAGTGTAAAAATAGATCCAGCGATATGGAATTCTCAGCTTCCAGTTTTTCAAGAAGTAAGGTAAATGCAGGAATAGGTAATAGTGGTATAACCACAGAACCAGACTCTGAAATTCAGATTGCTAATGTTACCACGTTAGAAACAGGTATGAGCTCTGTGAATGATGGTCATTTAGAAAATACTGAAGGGCGTGACATGAACTTAATGATTACACATGTAACATCACTGCAGAATACCAACTTGGGAGATGTGTCTAACGGACTGCAGTCAAGTAATTTTGGTGTTAATATACAAACATACACCCCATCTTTAACTTCACAGACCAAGACTGGTGTAGGACCTTTCAATCCTGGTAGAATGAATGTGGCTGGAGATGTGTTTCAAAATGGAGAATCTGTGACTCATCACAGTCCTGGTAAGTCATACGTTTAAATACCTTGCTAAGCTTATAAAATGTATAACATTTGAACAGTCCAAAATATTAATTTGTTTATATATAAAGTACAGAGCTACTAATATACACACATGCACACATACACTCTTAACTTCATTCTTAGAAAAGGAACTTTGGTTTTTTTTAATCTGTCGTTTTATTTGTGTATGAGTAGAATCTGCTCAATCAATGAGATGAAGTGTATACATCAGTAAACTTGTCTTGGATTAATAACTAGCTAGAAAAATGAATACTCCCTCCCCCTCCCCCCGTTAATACTTTGTGTATAATTACCTCATCTTTCAAAAAGACAATGCACATTTTTATGTGTAATTGACTTGGGATGCATGGAACCCAGTGTGCAGTCAGGGTGGCATGTGTGCACCTAGATAAATAGTGCACATTTGTTCATGGACTTAGTATCTGAGCCAAGCTTCTGTTTCTGAAGTTCTGTGGCTAGTATTATGCATCAAAGCCATTTTCCCTCAAAGTGGAGAAGCTTTAATTTACAGGTTTTGTTGTCCATGCTCTTTGAATAGTATTTGATGTGCAAAAGGATTAAGCGTGAGACACTAGAACAGTGGGTCTCAAACTTTTGTACTGGTGACCCCTTTCACATCGCAAGCCTCTGAGTGCGACCCCTCCCCCCTTATAAATTAAAAACACTGTTTTTATGTATTTAACACCATGATAAATGCTGGAGGTGAAGCAGGGTTTGTGGTGGCTGACAGCTCACGACCCCTCATGTAATAACCTCACAACTCCCTGATGGTCCCTGACCCCCAGTTTGAGAACCCCTGCCCTAGAACATTAATTGAATCATCATAATAGCAGCTGGCATTTTAAATTTAAGCTCTGTGAAGTATGTAATTTTTGTTTGTGTGATGTCTGGTACGTTTGAGGTCTAACCTGCTTGTGGCTTCTAGGTGTTCCCATAATATAACTGTTAATAGTTATATGTATGTTACCTTTTAGTACTACTTGTGCTAAAACTTATGTGCTATATGCTGTTAGGGGTAATTTGTTTTTGTTTAGGACAGCAGGAATAGCAGTAAACCTTACTTAGCTAACAACAGGTTCCACTAGGAGCAAAATGGGACAGTTGCAACTGCAGTTTTCTAGAGTTCACATTCTGCAGAATTTAAGCTTCCACCTAAATAATGAAGCTTTAATCTCACATTATGAAGATTAAGTTCTCTGTGTCAGTCAGTGCATTGCTGCCCTATTAAATTAGCCTCGTAGAAAACTATCTCAGATGAAGCCAGTAGCAAATGTATGAATTCCCCTTATTTCCCTGGTAGTGGTAAAAACTTCGGAGACTGGTTGGGATCATTTCAAAGGTGATCTAAAATATTCAGTTGGAATCCAGATGTATTGGAACTTAGCACAATTTGCCAATATGTTAATTTTATAATTCTCAGATAGCTTGGTAGCTTCTATCTAGATCAACAAGTATCTTGATAGCAGAGTTCTCTAGTTCTTGTATCACCAAAACTTACTTTTCAGAGTGTATTAATACATTTTATAGAGCATTTTAGAAGTATTAACTTAAAACTAAATACTTCTATCTAAATAAGAGCAAAGGAAATGCTGTGTTTCCTGACTAACTTGCAAAATTCATGTCAACTTGACAAGTTCATAGAATCATAGAATATCAGAGTTGGAAGGGACCTCAGGAGGTCATCTAGTCTAACCCCCTGCTCAAAGCAGGACCAGTCCCCAGTGTTTGCCCCAGATCCCTAAATGGCCCCCTCAAGGATTGAACTCAGAACCCTGGGTTTAGCAGGCCAATGCTCAAACCACTGAGCTATCCTTCCCCCCCCAAGTTCTGTAATTTGTGGATGGCTCTGTCCATTCTTATGAATCAGTCATATCTACTGTAACAAAAAAGCGAAACTCAAACTTGAAGAGCTTTTTGTTTTGTGTCGAGTGTCTCTAGATAGCTTGGACGTTCACATCAATTTTTAACTTTTTTGGAAGAATGCATTCCCATTTTTGTGACATTTGCTGGTACTTGATACACTAAAGACCTCAAAATGCATTGTTTTTTTGTGACATTACAAGTGGAAGACATGGGGACTTCTAGTACTTGTTAATGCAAAAATGCCTTTTGTATACCTTTCAAAACCAGCACATGCTTTTGCCCAAGGCACCAGAAAATTCCTCCTTTTACTGCTGGCCCAGAAGGCTTTGTGCATGGCTGCTAGTTTGATTGATGGGTCAGGTGCATACCAAAAATCTGCAAAATATGGAAACTGGTATACTAGCAGCATGAAGTAGAGTGAGTTCTGGCACCCTGGATTAATGGGGAAGAGAGGAGGAAAGGTTTCCTTGGGATTCAGTGAAGAGGGCCAACTATGGGAAGGAAGAAGGAAGGTTGATTCAGAATGGGGTGGGAGCTGAGAGAGTGTTGCAAAGGTCTGTATCTGTTGCACTTTCCAAATGTTGCTTATCTTCTGGGGGGAATAAAAAAGGTCTTTTCTACGCTTGTGGTCCTCACACATGAAAAGAACACAGTGAAGGGGAAAAGAAATAGGGAGAAGCGGGAGCAGAAAGGACTACCACAGGTAAAAAAGGGGAGAGACAGAGCAAGTGAAAAAAGGAAAAAGTCAAGTGAGAGCAGGAGCAAACGAAGAAGAAACGAGAGGAGGAAGGAGAGGGGGAGAGAGAAGAGAACTGTAGTGGAAACTACTTTTACAGGAGAAACAACTGAAACACGGTAGGTGTGGATCTCTTAGGTTTTATTTACAAAAGTAGGGGAAACATTTTCTGGGTAACTTGTTTCTGCTCTCCTTTTCATACCCCCCCCCCTTTTTTTTTTGAATGACCCTCCAGTGAATACTTGTCAGCATTTTATCCGACAAGCTAGTCCTGCCCGATCAGAAATCTGTATATCATGAAGCATTTCCATCTTAAGTATAGCTACCAAGGATGTTTTCCCCAACATCCTGTGGTGCAGGGATATGGTGGAAGAAGTGGATAGAAAAATCTTACATGCTCTCAGATGTTACCATCTCCCCATATGATTGCTGCTCCTGCCTTTCACCATAACTGAAAACTTGGCACAAAGGATACTGTTTCCAACTACTGGAGTAGTTTTGCAAATCTTATGTCCAGCCCATTGTTGTATGAAGTCCAGTGTTGTATTAAGTCCATTGTGACTCTAAAGCAGAGTGGTCTTAAGACTTGAAGTAAGTCCATTGTTTCTGGGGAGCAGCCTTTAACAATGAATGCCTCAGAGCCGTAAGCTCTAGCAGTATCAGTCTGAGCACCCATAAAGCTTGTCACTCCAGGAGGGCATTGTAGAAGGCAGACACTAAAAAAGGATGTTTCCTAACAGAGCACTGGTGGGGTGGGGAGGAGAGCAACCTGAAGAAATGGAGACTTGGGGGCAACATGGGAATGAACCAAGGAAGGGGAGACACCTTTTTTGTGCTGAGATCAGGATTTAGGAGTGGTTTTGAAGAAAGGAAGGAGGGTGGTGGGATACAAGGAAAGATGAAGGAGGAAAAAGTGGTGAGACTCAAGGATGTGAAGAGAGTTGGAAGAGAATAATAAAGTGAATGGAGTGCAAATATGAGGGAGAAAAGAGTGGAATAAAGAAATGAAAGACACAGGAGGAAAAAGCAAGAAGTCCCATTTTAAGATTAGACACTTACTGTTTCTACATTTTATGGTAATTCCCTTGCAGAAAGGAGGGAAGTCCACTTGAAATCTTAAGATGTGAGGGGAATCTCAAGGCCAACTGTAGCCTTGTGGAAGGGGCTAGGAGGTGTGAGTGTCAAGTTGGAGTCTCAACCAAAAATGAAATCTGCAAACCATAGGGCCCATGAAGCATCAGTTAAGAAATATTGGTGGTGTAGTCGCATGTACAGGAATCTTTCTGGGCATGTGCTTCCTTGTTCTGGATGTAAAGGAACCAGTCTGGACTCCCATTCCAAACACACATGAAAAAGGGAGAGTCTCAATGTTCTGGCTTATTTAGGTATTTTCTAGAAATATATCTGTCAGTCTTAGGTAGTTGACCAGAAATGGAGTCTACATTTGCGTGAGTCTCCTTAAACTGTAAGTACTGTGGTAACATATCTAGATTTGTCAGTGTGGGGCACATTCTTTAAAAAAAACAACAACAACAAAAAAAACAAAAAAGTTTTTGCGCTGCTTCCCCCTGTCCTCCCCATAACTCCTCCACTTTATGTTAATTGAAGCTTTCTAATAGCCAACTTACATTTAGTGCGTCTTGCATGCCTGGGAAATAGGACATCCATGGCAGCTGTCGTGACAGACAACAGGGCAGGCAAACACACAGTCCCAAACAGTAACCTGGATTTCCAAACAAGAACATTAGACTCCTTGGATATTTAAAGAATAAATTTTAATCCTTGAAACTTTTATCCAAGAATTGTGCAGCAGACTTAGTAAAGCTTGATCTTTATGGTCTCTTAGAAATACAGTGCTTTATTGGAAAATATGGCAGTCTTTCATTAGATTGATTGATGGATTCCTTAGAAAGCATCAAGAATAGCTGTAGTCATTTTCACCTAAAAACTTTAATCCCAAATCTGCGGAATTTACACATATTTTTTTTCTTTGTTTCTGTATGGCTATTTTGATACCAGCTGTTCTAAGGTGCAAGGAGAGTCACTAAAAATGTTTATGCATTTAAACTAACTTGTGGATACTGGACCAAACTTTGGAGATGCCACAGACCTTTCAAGGTCCTGCAGTGCAGTTTGCCGGATGTCAGTGCTTTCAGTTTATAGGTTAGGGTAAATGCCACATTCACTCTAATTTAGGGACTATGGCAAATACATGTTATCTAAGAGAAGATTGTTTATACATGCCAGGCTCTAGGATTATTTCTATGAAACATTCATTTAGAAGAATGGAATGGCAGGATCAAAAAATAAGTTTTAGGTGCTCTGAAGTTACTGGTGATAGTTGGCATGTTGTTGATATTTTAAGTGAAATAAATTGATCATTCAAATGTAAAGGAAATTCACTTATAATGAATTTTTTCATACTTAAAATAATACTTCTTACTTTTGGCATCCTATAGAACTTTCTCCATTGTCATGGCCTAAAAACTTAGTTGATCAAAATGGAAGCTTAAATTCTGGAGAAATGTCTCAAAAGAGGGTTTTATAGGAGAATAGTTTTGCCAGAAGTTTGTCTTCTGAACCTAAGTAAGATATTAAAAATTGAGACATAGGGATGCTATTTTTTTAGTTCTTTTCCTGTGGGACAAATGAAATTGTGATGCAAACGGCCCTACAACATGTTAAACTATAAAATGACTGATTGTCTGAGAGTGGCTCTGTACTCTGGGATTGTGTTGTCCAGTGCTAGGTGGGAGGAGGGGATGTTCTGAGGAGGAATTTCGGTACTGCAAGGACTTGGACTATTAACTTCTAGGTTCATTGTTCCCTACTGAGAAGACCAAAATCTTGAGAATTAATCAGTTTTTGCTATTCTGCAGATTTTCATTGTTCTAATTGATAGTTATTGCCTTGAAATGGATTTTAAAGTAAAATAGAAATTGCTTCCCATAGGAACCATGATACAGATACATGTGGTGATTGGTGTGAATATATTTTGTCTGTCTTTAATTGTAATACAAAAAACCTTTGGGCCAGAGAGTCTGGACTGAGAAACTACTTCAGAAGTTGCAAATCTACTATTTTTATATGTAATACCAGAAGTTTTAAATCAGAAGATTTTTAACCTTATTCTAATCTCTTTATACGTTATCTTTCTATCTACTGAAAATCTAGGGTTTTGCTTTGAAAATAAAAACATGAAAAGTATCTTTGATAACAACCCAAGTCTGATATACATTTGATCTGTCCAAATTTATAAACCTCTTCAGTAATATTTTTAGAAAATGGAAATTTCTAATAGATGAAATCTTCAAAATGGAAATTCTGCTTTGCCTTCTCTGCTTTGAATTTTTAAATGCAATTGGTACAATTTTATATTTGTGTCTAGGTTCTACTCCTGGGGGAATTCTGCGCCAATGCGCGTGCGCAGAATTCATGTCCCCCGCAGATTTCTTTGCTTCCCCGCACAAAAATGACTTTTTGACAGGGAAGTATAGTGAAGCTGCAAGAGCAGTCATGCACCATTCCCTAGCTGTGCAGGTACATTGTTTCAGGCACCCGGAGCAGCGGGTGGAGAGGAAAATCACCTCCGGGTTGGGGACACGTTAGCCAGTGGCTCCTACCCAGAGGAGGGATCAGTTAATAGTCCTGGCTGGGCTGGAGGCAGGAGAGGATGGGACTTCCTCTTCCCCTGCAAGACGTGGATGGGGCTGTGTCAGACCCACTCCCAGAAACCTCCCCAAGCTGCGGAAGCTCAGCATCTCCCCCCCCCCCCTTCTTCCTGCCCCGTCGCTCCTCAGTTGCAGGGGTGGGGGTCACTGTATGAGGAGTTGCTCCACCATCTGCCCAACCCCTGCTAAGCCTCACCCCATACACCCAGAACCCCCCCCAGCCATCCTACTGACCCCCACCCCTGCACCCAGACCACCCCCCACTGAGCTCCCTGCATTCAAACCTCTACCCCTTCGAGCCCCACCCTGTGCATCACCCTGAGCCCCACTGATCCCCAACAATCTGAACTCTGATCCCCTTCTCCCCCCAAAACCCCACTCCACTGGCAGACCCTCCTGCTGAGACCCTCACAACCAGACCCCTCCGCTGAGCCCCAACCACTTTCACTTGGAAGCCCCTGCGGTCCCATTGCCCATGCACCTGGAATCCCCTCAACGAGCCTCTGTGCATCCAGATTCCTCCACACCTAGACCCCCCACTGAGCTGCCTGCACTCGGATTGTCCCACACAGAATCCTCTCACCCCACACCTGGATCTCCCCACACTGAGCCCCTCCACACTTGGATCCTGTCTGGTTGAGCCTGCCTGCCCCACACCTAGTGCGCCTGCGACAGGCCCCATGTGTTTCTGGGGCAGGCCCAGGCCTTGTGCTGTGTCAGGGTCAGGTGCAGCCTCACCACTGAGTCCGTGTCCCGGGGCTGAGGAGGCTGCAGGGTGATCCTAACCTTTGTACAGCCAGTGGACTGTGCTCCCCACTGCCATGCTGGAGCCTCTGCATTTATTTGTTAACAGATAAAACTTGCAGAATTTTAAAATATTGATGTGTGCAGAATTTTTAATTTTTTGGCACAGAATGCCCTCAAGAGTAAGGTTCAAATGCCAGTTTGTGGACAAACTACACGTGGGTTAATCACTCTGACTGGTGTCTCCACGCCTAAGAAACGGGCAACTTTAGATGCTCCCCTGTTTTGGAATTTCCTGTGATGGCAGAGAACAATGCCATTGATCTAAACATACTGACTGAGCATGTTCTTTTAAATTGGTTTACATATACCTCCAAGATAACCAATTCCCCCTCTTAATCACTTTTGTTAGCAAATTATCCTCATATAATCAAATCTATTTGTATATTGAAAGATGTCTATTCACTTAATTTTCCATGTATTTTGTATTTTTAAGATTCCTGGATATCCCAGTCAGCTTCATTCCCTAGAAATCAGAAGCAACCAGGTGTGGATTCCTTGTCACCAGTGGCCTCCCTTCCTAAACAGATTTTTCAGCCGTCTGCACAACAACAACCTTCTAAACAGGTTAAAGTCACATGTGCAAATTGTAAAAAACCCTTGCAGAAGGGACAGACTGCATATCAGCGCAAAGGATCAGCTCACCTATTTTGTTCCACTGCCTGCCTCTCATCATTCTCGCATAAACCTGCTCCAAAGAAACTCTGTGTTATGTGCAAAAAGTAAGGGATGTTTTATTCGTTGTTCCCTTAATACTTGAATGCAAAAATATCTGCTTTATGAATGTTAAGGAGCATTTCTAATAACTAACAAATTTGTTAGTCTCTAAGGTGCCACAAGTACTCCTTGTTCTTTTTGCTGATACAGACTAACATGGCTACCACTCTGAAATCTAATAACTAAGTATATGACGCGTGTAAGATCTGACTACAAAAATATTTTTCCCTACAAAGTGTAGGGCCACCTTAAATTTGGTTGAAAATGACTAATCCTTTATAAGTTACCGTTATACGTAATCCTTCATGGTTATAGCATGTCTGGAGATAATCAAGGAAAGTACAGTACCTCTCCTTGATTGTCAACTCTCTAATTCAAAATAAGGCAGCATAGGGGAGCTTCTTCTCTTTAAAGATACAAATCAATAGTTTTGGTTTAGTGATTTTTTTCATATAAACAGTTTCTAAGTTTACAAAATATAGTACAGTAAACAATATGGCATAAATTCACAAGAAAAAATAGTGAAAACATTTTATTATATAAATGCTTCCATTGTGAGAGGGAAAAGATGACATCAAGGGGCAAATACATAGGAGAAAAAAATATTGAGATTTGGAAAGACATGGCTGAGAAACAAAGGAAGACTGTTCCATCTACTGGGAGTTATGGGGGAAAGCCCTGGCCTAGTCAATGGCTGGAAGGGAAAGGGAGACGAGCAATAAGCTGGCAAGCCTATGAGAATGCCTATTGTGCATATATATATGTGTGTGTGTGTATGTGTATGTGTATATAATATAGAAAGTCTTAAAAAGAAGCCCAGGAATTATGAACTCATTCCTGAAATCACTCAGGAGCCAGATGGGTCATACTTCTCTGTATGTGTGAAGGGGTGGGCACCTGCCGGAGTCTGGAGAACGGGGCCTTGTGGAAGCTACAGAAAGCAGAGTTGAAATAGTGAAGGCATGAATGGGGGCTTCATCCCATTTTGGGGTCAAGGCAGTGTAATATGGGCAGTATTATGGAAGTGATTAAATATATTTAGAGATAGTGTTCTGCATTTTCACTTTTCACCGATAAATTACCATTTTTTTAAATTAAGAGTTTTATTTTTTTATTGATTTATACCCTCATCAATCTACTCAATATTTTTTTTGAGTACTTATTTTTGTTAAACACTAATGTTTTACATGATGGTTGTGTCCTGTATCTCTGAGACTGAAGCAGTTACTCAGTGTAAAACTCAGAACACACGCACAGTGGAGGTCAGAAAAATCAAACAATGTTAATAATGCGGGATGATTGGCTCACAAAGGCATGCTGCCTGCCTATTGTTTTGCGTCTGTTTAGAGCGGCGCTAAATTTAAACAATCAGTCCTCCACAGATAAAGATAGATAAGGTAAAGAGGTAAACGTGGGGCAAAAGCACAGATCTGTGCCTGAATACCAACAAAAAATCAGTGCTTAGAAATTTTCAAGAAAAGTAAAGACTGGAACGAAGAGGACGCATTGCATTGCAAGTACTGCAGCGTTGAGATCAGTGCTTGCACTGACAGAATAAAGGAGCATGTCGAAAGCAAGTGACATAAGAAGCTTAAAGAAGAAAGTGAACTTTGAGATAAACAGTCAATATCAGGAGTTTTCACCATGGCTTTAATGAAAGAGAGGTCACAGCATGATTGTGTCAATGAATTTGTGCGTAGTCTTTGTTTTGCTGGACAGTCACTGTTAATTGCAGAGGGGCCTGGTGGTGACTTTGTGTGACAGTACTGTCCAGGAGCAAAAGTCCTTCCTAATGCAGACAACCTCACTCATAAGTACCTGAAAGAAAATGACGATGCTTTAGTATCTAAACTAATGGAACAAATTGATGAAAATGTTGTCTAATCTGATTTGACGAGTCTCCTGATGCTTTGGACTGTCCGATGCTTGGCCTTTTGTTTTTGTTTTTTTTATTTCAAAGTGAATAAACCCACATTGTTTTGTGCTGATGTGACATTTCATCCCCTCTGCTGTCAGCTGTTTTGTCAACACAGCAGTAACTGACATATTTGAGATATACCAGCTAATTTGGGAAAATGTGGCCACAACAAACACAGATTGTGTTTACCCTACATGGCTAAGTTTACATGAGAGATTAAACTCGGTCAGAAACTGGAGCTGCTATGTATTGCCTATCCTGCTCATCTGATTAACGTTGTACTGTCAACAACTACTGCTACAGAAGAAATGAAAGATGGGAAATCTTGCATCATTGGGTTTGGGGCTGTTTTCAAGCATGCAAACAAGTTTGAAGACTTTGTTTTACACAGTGCGAGACGAGTGCAGAGCTGACTGCCAATTACCTACCTGTGTTGTGCCACATTGGTGGATGAGTGTGTACTTCGCTGCCTGTCGTGTAAATAACACATGGACTGTGCTGATGCATCTCCTATATCATCCTGAGTTTGTTGGTTCCAAAGCAGAAACTCTGAAGAGACTGGCAGATAACCAGAATGTGACCACCAGATTCTGTGCATCAAGGTAACGTTCATTGTTGAAAACTTGTGATCACTGTGTGACACACAGAAAACACTGGAGCTTTCTCTGACTACTGCCAACACATTTGCCCATACAGATGTTTACCAGATCCTGTCAACCAAAATCTCAGCTGAACTGAGTACAAAAGCTGCAGAAGAAACATACAGTGAGAGAACCCAGCTGTTTCTGGAAATCCTTCTGACTCCAGGAGATGAGAACTCCAAATGTGTTCTAAACCTTCAACACAACACTCGGCTAGAAATGGGAGATGATCATGGCGCATAATCTGACCCCTGAAGTGTTTGGTGCCAAAGATTCTTTTTGGAATGTCATCCAGGTGTTGCACCCTTTCGTCAAAGTGAATTTTGCAGCAGACTGTGACAGTTATGCCAGAGTGTTTCAGCTGTTTGCCACTAAAGATGGAATTTCAAATCTGAAAGGAGAATTTACTGTTTACACGAACATGCCTAACCTGACAGTATAAAACTGGATGTGCCGGCTTTTTGGGACAGTAATCAAAACAAACTTCTCGACTTCAGCAGAGTGTCATGGCAAGCTTTGATTGTACCCTCTGGATCTTACTGATGCAAAGCGCTTATTTTTAAAATTGGACTACCTCCAAGACAGCAAGAGGCTCAACATGAGTGAGAATACTTTGAAGAAAATTATGGGAGCATATGTAAACCAGGATTTCTGGAAAAACTATTCTCTTAGACCAAACATACCTTTTGTACATGAAAAGAGCTTCAATTATACTGTAGTAAAATGTGTATATTATACAAGTCGTTTTCCCCATATTTTTTAAAAAAATTTTTAACCCGATTTCATCCTAGTTTTACTGTTTGGAAAATAAACAAAAAAATCTCCAAATTTTTTTACAAATAAAAACTGAAAATGCAGAACACTAGACATAAATAATTAAAGGTCATAGTTCACCTTGAAATTTATTATTGATTCATTACTCAGAATGCCTAAAAGAACCACTGGGGAGCTTAAGAATTGTACACTAGTAACATTAGATTTGCAAAATAGTTATACTTAGGGTTGTCAAGCGATTAAAAAAATTAATAACGATTAATTGCAATGTTAATAGAATACCATTTATTTAAATATTTTTGATGTTTTCTACGTTTTCAAGTATATTAATTTCAATTACAGCACAGAATACGAAGTGAGACGTTCACACAGCACTTTTGTAGCTGGCATTGCAAGGTATTTACATGCTAGAAATGCTAAATATTCATATGCCCCTTCATGCTATGGCCACCATTCCAGAGGACATGCTTCCATGCTGCTGATGCTTGTTAAAAAAAATTACGTGCTGATTAAATTTGTGACTGAACTCCTTGGGGGAGAACTGTATGTCTTCTGCTCTGTGTTTTACCCGTATTCTGCCATAAATTTCATGTTATAGCAGTCTCGGATGATGACCCAGCATGTTGTTCGTTTTAAGAAAACTTTCATTGCAGATTTAACAAAAGGCAAGGAAGGTACCAATTTGAGATTTCTAAAGATAGCTACAACACTCGACCCAAGGTTTAAGAATCTGAAGTGCCTTCCAAAATCTGGAAGGACAAGATGTGGAGCATATTTTCAGAAGTCTTAAAAGAGCAACACTCCGATGCAGAAACTACCAGAACCTGAACCACTAAAAACGATCTGCTGGTGGCATCTGACTCTGATGATGAAAATGAATGTGCGTCAGTCTGCACTGTTTTGGATAGTTATTGAGCAGAACCCATCATCAGCATGGATGCATGTCCTCTGGAATAGTGGTTGAAGCATGAAGGGACATATGAATCTTGAGCACATCTGACATGTAAATATTTATTTTGCAACGCCAGCTACAACAGTGCCATAAGAAGGCCTATTCTCACTTTCAGGTGACATTTGTAAACAAGAAGCAAGCAGCATTATCTCCTGCACATGTAAACAGACTTGTTTGTCTGAGCGATTGGCTGAACAAGAAGTAGGACTGAGTGGATTTTGTTGTATTTTTGAGTGCAGGTATTTTTTGTGCATAATTCTACATTTGTAAGTTCAACTTTCACGATAAAGAGATTGCACTACAGTACTTGTATTAGGTGAATTGAAAAATACTATTTTATTTTTACAGTGCAAATATTTATAATAGAAAATAAATATAAAGTGAGCACTGTACACTTTGTATTCTGTGTTGAAATTGAAATCCATATATTTGAAAATATCGAAAATATAAAAAATGGTAGTCTGTTATTTTAAGTGTGATTAATCGCACAATTAACTTTTTTAATTGCTTGACAACCATAGTAGAAAATAATATATCTCGCTGTAGATGAGTCTTTTGCGTAAAGATAACTGACGGACTGAATATGCAATTAAATAATACAAATTCTAGCTGCTTCTTAAACTCTAAATTGTCCAGCTAGTTATACCATTTATAAACAAGATTTGAATCTAATCTTTCTCTTTCTCTTAGGATTAAGATGTTCAAAACTCATGGCTAATTCTTTTTCATCTCCCCATTCCTGCAACTAATTCTGTGGTGATTCTAAGAGTGTAGGATGATACAGATGGCAAAAAAGAACAGCCACGTTAAAAACATTTCATTTTTAAATAGAGAAAAATTTTGAAGTGTCCAGTTCTTAGATTATTGATTAATTCATTATTTTGGACAGTCTGTCAAAGTCTTTTTGAATGCTAAAGACTCAGATTTGTAGAGAAGTCCTATGAGGTCATCTTTGAACGTCTTTCTTTTGAGGATATCTTAGGCCAGGTCTACACTAAAAAGTTAAATAGACCCCTGAGTGATGTACCAAAGGCGACCTACCACCCCCAGTATAGACAGTGCTAGGTCGACAGAAGAATTCTTCTGTCTACCTAGCTACTATCTCTTGGGAAGGTGGATTAACTACAGCAATGGGAGAATTCCTCCCATTGCTACAGTGAGTTGTCTACACTGAAGCGCTACAGCAGCACAGCTGCAGCATTGTAGCTGTGCTGATGTAGTGTAGTGGTTTAAGTGTAGACATAGCCCTAGTCTTTTAAATTCTCCCCCTAGTCTTCAACTGCTCAGTAAATCTGTGTATGGAAACCAGGGCCTGGATAAAGTTGCCCTTGTTTAACACTGCCTTAGCTTCAAGTCTAAACAAGAGTAGAAATCTATGCTACCTATATTTTTTAGTTAGCGATCCTGTATTTCTTGCACTCCCCTCCTCCACCGGGGGTCCCCTCTCAGTATCAGATTTACTGGATAGGGAGGAATCTTGCTGCACTGTCTCAATGCCATAACTATGGGAAAGTTGGCCAGTTTCCCCCCCAGTTTTAAGATGGCAATACCATCTGTTCTGAGCACATGAAAAAAGTAGGAACTATGATGTTGCACAGTGAGTTTAGTGTGTTTTTTTTTTTTTTAAATACAACATACTGTTAACGTAGGTTTTAATTTAGGTTTAGAATGGCTGTTTGTAAATTGAGTGATATCAACTGACTTCAAAAAGATGATGAAATTTAGAGAAGCTGGCAAAGATTTCCTAGAAGTGATGTAATTTTGGGTGTCCCCCATAAGACCCTTTAAGGTTTTTTTTTTAAATCCAGCTGTTCAGTAGGTCTTAAGTTGGGCACTCAGAAATTTTAAGGTGCTCAAAATTGTTAATCACTTTCTAAAAATTTTGGCTAATGTGTTCATTATTTTCCCCCTCAAACTTTTATTAAAAATTGCGAATTTTTTCCTTTTTTGATGCTCTTCTCTCTGATCATAGTCAGTGAAACTACTCGTGCTAAAAGTTAAGGACGTTTATAAATGTTGGCCCAATTGGTGCCACAGTTTGTAAGCTTGTCAGGGCAGGGGTGCTGGCCTTCTGTTTCTGTGGAGTACACAAGCAAGTCATCTTGTAGTCCTCTTGCAAAAGGCCCAGCTTCATGCTGACATCCTTTCGGATAAGGGTAGATCTGATGGTGTCTCACTGTACAGGCAGTCCATGCCTTTTTCAGAAACAATCTTTAAAGAGCAGCCTACCGCATTCCCTTTCCCCAGAGGCTGTATGTCTTCAGTGCTTTCAGTTCCTCCCAGTTTATAAATTTAGAACTGAACATGGGATAGACTTTTTTGGGACATGTCCGTCCCCAACATGAGAATGTAACATGGCTATGACCTGCCCAGTCAGTTCTTGCTTTATGCTGCTGAATGGTATTTCCATTGCATCAGTAATCATAAAAAACAAAAGCTGTGTGCCTGTAAAGAAAAGGGAGATATTTTTCCTCTCTCATAACTTCCATGGGGGATATGTGGGGGAGAGGAGGGAGAAAAGAACCCTCTGGTCCATATTTATGCACAGATGATATGGATGTACTACAGCCCCAGCTACAAAATCTGGCTCTTTAGTTTAAGCTGTAGAGACTCACACTTTTATGGGAAAGAGATTCTTGTGAAGTAACAGCAAAATTCACTAGCAAATATCACGTGTGTTCAAAGCCTTTAAACTAATCCATTGTCAGTTGAGTTTGCTTATTATTCTGTGTCTATTGTTAACCACAACTTTCTGATGAATATTTATAATGTATGATCGATCTGATTTGGAGGGGGCTCTTCATTTTAGGAGCTAGAAGTATCTCTTAAAAACTCTGCTTCCATCTCAAAACCAAGTAATCTAACATGTTGAAATGATTGGATTTATAGACACCCTGCAGTTAAAACTGAGTGACTTTAAACCAAGCTTACTTTAAGAACATTTTAATGTAACTTTACATGTTTGATTAAACCAAAAATTGGTAGATTGGTGAATAATATTATTGTGCCGTGCTATTTTTGCAGATGGGGCCAAACAATAAATGCAGAAGGAATAGCATGCAACAAGGCATACAACTGAGATTATTGCAAATGTTAAGGCGCATAGTGTAGCGTGAGGCTGAAGACCAAGTGTATCTTGCACTTGTCACAGAACACGATAGTGCAATTGATTTTTCATGAGGAGAGGTATGAAGGACTAGTTCAGAGTAGTTTATTACTGTTCATTTGGTTAATCCAAAAATAGTCGGCTGTCTCAGTTGAATATTTAATCAGTTACAGCTAGGTACTCCGTATTCAGGTTGGTGATTTAGAACTTCTTTAGCCAGCTTGATTACTTTTATAAATTGTGCCTATTTTTTATTTAAAATGATGCATTGTAATATCCAAGCTTACCAGGCAAATTCAGAGTGGAGTTTTGGTCTTAACAAAAATTGCTGGCTGTAGCTAAAAAGACAGCTCTTCAGTGTTATATTTCAGAAGAAAAGAATCTCCAAAAATAATAAAATAAAGTGCTGATATTAGTTGTAGCAGTGTTATGGGTTTTCGAGGACCAGGAAATAGATGTTTATTGACTAAGTTTAAAAAAAAATACTTTTTTTTTATTGTTGGGAAGCAGTTTTTGTTTAAAAAATATTTGTGGTTTTATGTTTAAAATTTAATCTTTTGCGTGTACTAAGTAAAACAAGCTAGATATGCTCAACCGGTAACTGCTCATTGGTAAAAGCTGTTTTACAAATACTGTATCTTCAATATTGGAAGTAATGTAGGGAAAAACATACAACCTGGTATTCTTTTGGATAGACAACAGAAATTGCTTTGTTTTAATGATCGATTTGCAGTGTGAATGTAAAGTTGCTCAGAACTATTTATATTTTAGCAAATAGTATTAAACTCAAGAGAAACAAATGCAACAGATAGAATGATTGATGGATGTCAATACAGTGGGACCATCTTGAAAATAGTTTTGAACCAAAAGCTATTTAGAATCCGAGAAATTAAAAGTGCATGGTGGGGGGAAAAAAGAATCAATTATATTGTTATGAAATACTATTAAAAAAAAAAAAGTTTTATGCTCTACTGCTTTTGTCTTTCAGAGATATAACAACAATGAAAGGCACCATTGTTGCTCAAGTTGATTCCAGTGAGTCTTTCCAGGAATTTTGCAGTACATCATGTTTGTCCTTCTATGAAGACAAGCATAATCCCTCAAAAGGAATCTTGAATAAGTCAAGATGCACTATCTGTGGTAAACTAACTGAGGTCTGGTTCAGTTTTTGGTCTCAACTCTTAAATTACTTCCTAATAGAACATTTATTATTAAGAAGTTGATTGGAAAGAGTGGTAAAATGTCTATTTTTTAAAGTTGTCTAGGTTTTTTGTATTTCTACAGTAATTAGGCGTAATATATTTAGCAAGTTTATATCTCTTTCCATCTTCAGTCATGCTTTATAATGGTTAGATAACATTAATTTTTGTAAATTGCTTTATTGCATATTTAAATTTAAGAAATCTATGAAGACAGTTGTGCATTACTGACATTTTTGTCATCCGCTGACATTTTGGAGTTCATTTTCATTGCTGATTATTGCAGGCAAGGCTTTTCTTTAGACAGCTAGTCATTTAAAAATTTTATGTTGAATTGTTGAATTGTTCACTATTGATCTCCATAAGAGCATAAGAATAGCCATACTGTGTCAGAGCAATGGTCCATCTAGCCCAGTATCCTGTCTCCTGACAGTGCTCGCTGCCAGATGCTTCAGAGGGAATTAACAGAACAGAGCAGTTAGTGAGTGATCCACTTCCTGTTGTCTAGTCCCAGCATCTGGCAGTCAGAGGCTTAGGGACACCCAGAGCATGGAGTTGCATCCTTGACCATCTTGGCTAACAGCCATTGACAGCCCTATCCTCCATGAACTTATCTAAATCTTTTTTGAGCCCATTTATATTTGTAGCCTTCACAACATCACAGGGCAATGAGTTCCACAGGTTGACTATGCATTGTGCTTTTGTTTGTTTTGTTTTAATAATTTCATTGGGTGGCCCCTGGTTTCTTGAATTCTTAAAAGGGAGGAAACTAGAAACAGTTACTGCTTCTCTCATATTTCATTTTTCAGTAACTATTTTGAGGGCCCTCAAAGTATAAATCCAATAGTAATTGATACTAATCAGTAGACTACATACAAATGTTGCCATCAAAACAATTCAGGATTTTCTCTATTCTAATTGCATATTTTGGTAAATCCCCCTTGAGTAACGTAAAGATAGTTTGTATAGTAGAATATACCCTTATTTAAATTCTCCTGAGCTGGGATTACTACGTTCTGGATGCAAATACTGGGCCAAGCTTACATAGCCATGTATATTCATCCTTTTAGCCCCAAGACAGCCTTGTAAATTAAAAGCCAAATATATTAAAAATCCTGCTCACTGCCAACAAAGTGTATAAAGTGCAGGTGGGGAAAATGTATGTAAATTAGCTCCCCGTTCTCTTGAGCAGCCTTGTGTGAATCCAACCCTGTGACTTTGGATTGGCTTCCAAGGCCTCAAGAACAGCTGGGGCTAGGTTTTTGCCCAGAGATTGCAAGGAGACAGAGTTTGCTTTGTTTGTTATAGTTATTTCAAATGCATATGTCACAATATTATCTAGGGTTCCAGTTGAACCAAGTATTGTTCTTTAAGTTGTGATTGTCAAGTGTAGCGCACTGATGAAGAATCTTGGGTTGTTTTTTTTTAGATTCGCCATGAAGTTAGCTTTAAGAACATGACTCATAAGCTGTGTAGTGACCACTGCTTCAATAGATACAGAATGGCGAATGGTTTAATAATGAATTGCTGTGAACATTGTGGGGAGTACTTGCCCAGTAAAGGAGCTGGAAACAATATTCTTACGATTGACGGTCAGCAGAAAAGATTCTGCTGCCAAAACTGCGTTGGTGAATATAAACAGGTAACTTCTTCTATTTATAAAAAAATGAAATTTAGCCTATAAATTAAAAAACAAAACAAACATTAGTACTGCTAAGATGCATTCTGTTCTTGATTAACTAAGTTGCTTGAGACTGTTCGTATTCTATATTTAGACAGACCTCAAAGACTCAGCTGTTTAACCTATGTGAATCTATATGTGCATTTGTGGGAGTGGAACTCTACTAATAAATTATTATTGTAAAAGGAGAGATGTATCTTAACCAAAAATACTAGTGACTTAAAACAGTCTGAGGAAGAAAACTTCTATCTTTTTAGTGAAGGCTTTAATTCTTAATGTATTTATTTATGGTGAGCATGACAACTCCATACCTATTGTGCAACCCACTAGTGCTTGGTTAGATATAAAAGCTCATTTACTTGCACTTTTAGACATTTACGTAAAGTTAAAAATGTATATGGGCCATGCAGTCTGGACATGGCTGTTGATTCCCTTAATCACATTGTTTACCTGTACATTGGATATGCTTTGAGTTCCTTTCCAGTATAATCCCAAGTCCAAAGCTAAGCTTTACCTATATTCCTTCATGAGTGAAGGTTTGAAGGATTTTGTATCCTCCTTTGCTTAGCTTCTGTGTGCTCCTGAAATTATTATAGCATTTGAAACAAGTCTTGTTTTTTTTACATTTCATTCTTCAGACAACATTTGCCCCCTGCGTTTGCTTTAGGAGGCAGTGGTGAGCCATCATTTAACACTAGTGGGAAGGTTGGAGTGCTGTTCAAACTATTAATGACCTAGCAGGATAATTCAGAACCATTGTTATTTATTAATTTTTGGGCTGGTCCAGTGTAGAAATTTAGTTTTTTCTATAGCATGCATCTTTTATCTGAGATGTCATGGTGTTGCAGTGTTAAGCATCTAGGGACTGTGTTTTAGGACTTCTGAAATGAATGTTCCACTTGTAACATATGCCTATATTTTCTGTAGTTTTGGAGTAAACCTTTATATATGTGAGATGATGTGTTACTTTACCAAGGCTTCTTTGAGATGTTTGTGCACCCAGCTGTGTTGAGGATTCTTCTTCATTTCTTTCCACTTTTTGAAGCTGGTGAAATACAATCAGTCAGAGGGAGCCCAGTATTGAATTAACAAAGCTCCATTATATTTGATGAATAAAAAGCTCCATAATGTTTGATCTCTGTTCTATATTGCTATTCCATTTTTGAATGTCAAGTGCTGCTTGCCTTTACCCTTTTTGGACTGCTTCTTTGAGCTTGTACAGAACTCAGACAGTATTTCTGGGAATGTATACATGTATAAACAGCACAACTGAAAGCATAACATAAGCCTTATTGTTTTATCACACAGCAAAACCAAAAAAGGGCAAAATAGGTTTTCGAGATACTAAAAATGTAGGCATAGACAGAAGCCATGGAAAGACTTGGAGAAACGTTGAATAAGCACTCATGAAGGAACAAAAAGACCACAAGATTAACTTTGAACTTGGGACTGTCCCACACAACCTAAAACGTGCATTGATGAAATGCCATGTGAGCATGGAATTATGAGAGGTGGAACGACAATTCTGTATCTATTATACATTCATTGCAAAGTGTACTTTGTCATTTGTCTGTTTAGATATTTTTGTACTGTTGTGTTCAGACATTAAATCCCCATATGCTAATGAGAGGATGAGGTGGCATGGCATTTGACAGGATGTTGTGCTCTATTGTATGCTGGGGGATTGCAACTTTACCATTAGTAGTGGATATTATGCAATAGCATGCTGATCTGGAAGTGAATCTCTTTCTCCTTGACCTGGATAGTTTTGCTGCATCCATTGCCATCGGCAGACTTTGTACCAGCAAAATCTCTTACGTTGTGAAAGGATTATTATGTATCTGATGTTGAGGGGTGAATGGCTTATGGAATGGTAATGAGCTGTGAAAAGATTAATCTCTAGTGCTAGTTTGCATCCACCCAGGTTGTTGTGACCAAATGTAATTCATAGTAGGTTTTCAAATATTATAGACAGTGAATGGTGGATTTAAATTCTTATTTAAATGAGGTACGTTCCAAAAGAGTATAATTGTTCTGATGGTGTATGGTGTGGGTGGCAAAATGTCTCAGGCCATAATTAATTTTATAATGACAAATCTGACTAGCAATGTGCATTTATGTTTTAACTTGAATTTGAAATCATTTGAGGAAATTTTGGAAAATGATTATTAACTTTTGTTAAGTGGGTGCTTCTTGTGAGAGGTATAAATGTATAGTCTTGTTCAATAATGGGTTTTTGTATGGAATGTGTCTATCAATTTAATCTTTTAAAGGAATTTTGACCATGAAAGCTCAATCATTGCTAGCAATAGGTAATTATAGATAAAATATATTTACTTTCACACAATAGTACTAGACCTCTTTCTGGGGATTTTTCTCTGTCATTTTACTTTCAAGGGCGTGCACCATAGGAAAGGAAGGACAGACTTCTAAAATAATATAGAAATAATCCTCCTTTTGTCAAAACAGTGATACATGGGTTGATGGGGAGCATTTGGCTACATTAGTATTTTGTTTAGCAGGTTATCATACTGTGTGGTATGACTAAAATTTTTAGTGAATATATTCCACTTATGTGCAAGCAATTGTATAATAAGTGGGGGTCTGTCTTTTTGCTATGAGTTGTATAAAACTAGTATATCATGTACTGTAATTGTCATATACCAACTGGTCTCTTATAAATATGTAGTACTCGTAAACTAGAATTGACACAATATTTGTACCTACCTACTTAATCCTTATGTGTGAAATAAATATTACTTAAAAATGTTTGGAACTAGTTTTCATAACGTATGTACAGTTTTTCTTAGGATTGAAGTGAAATTATGTGCAGACCAAAATGTTATGCCTTTTGGCAGGGAGATTGGTGGTAGAGAACCAGGACAAATGGGTCATGATTTGGTGTGGCTGATCCTTCATTTTACATTGTGGTGGTGGGGGAGACAGGGAAAGAGGAGGCAATGCTGTTTTTGAGTTAGAGGGACATTGGATAAAATAGACAGAAGCTCTTGTCTCATTTTCAAAAATATGAATACACTTAGGAGGTGAAGTCCCATTGACATAAGCTCCTAAATGGACATGTCATTTTTGAAAATGGGACTCTAGGGCCTAGGTACTTTTAAAAATGTTGTCCTTCATAACTAAGGACATAACTGGCCCCTCTTTAATATGGCACTAGTGAAACTGTACTGTATACACCTGGATGCATCAGCGCTTGAAAGAGATCTATTAAACTAAAGGATAACTGGGGAAAAGTTACAAATGAATAGACAATGGACAGATGAGGAACAATAAAAAAACTAAAATAGGTATAGCTTGACCAAACTATTTAGGTATGATTATTTAAAGTGTGTTGACACCCACGAGGGAGACCAGTTATTTATGGTGGCACAAGTGGGTATAATCAAGAAATGGAATGATACTAAGCAAAGGACAACTTAGGTTAAATGTCAGGAAAACTTCCTTGAAACGTATGTTAAACATGGAAGACACTTCCAATCGAAGTAGACCCTGAACCCTTTCCTGTCGTCCTTGTTGTTGAAGTTCATACTCTCCAGTACTGGGAGAGGTAGGGAGCAACTCAGAGAATGACCCTAGAAAAGTAAATGAATTACCAGAAGAAAATAAGATATTGTTTGAGTACATGTAGCCATGTATTCCACTTAGGTGTGTGGGTGCCCATTGCAGTGGAACCAGAGAAATTTGCCTACCAATGGCAAGGGGTGCTTGCGCCTTGTGGCTGTAGCTACTCTCCTGGCTACATGAAGTGGTGCTGCCCTGACCCTCCCTGAGTTCCTTCTTATTGCCTGTGGTGGGGTTTAAACAGTGTCCCTCCAACAGCCATCTCCACAGTTGGTGCTTGCTCTGTATTGGTGAGGCCTACATCAGGGAGTGTTGTGTGATCTGCAGATCGTTTAAGAAATGGACTCAAGTGGCTTGGGACCTTTCCCTGAAGAAGCACCTGCTTGAACAGGCCATGCAGCCTGCATTGGTATCAAGGCCCTCATTGAGTCGGAGATTGCCCTTGAACTTTAGGAGCACTGCTGCTTCACATTCTGGAGCAGGCTCCTCTCTGAAGAAATGGAGAAGCCATTCCCTGTCAACTGTGCTGAGGAAAAGATTGCATAAGACCAACTGAGGTTGCTCTAGGTCTCAGGGTGACTCTTCTACCTCCCCCAGTAAAAGTGTGGACAGGTGCAGAGTTGGTGCTGGCATGTATGGTGGTGTGGGTATCTTAACCCTTTCCCGGTACTGAATAGGGAGGGTAGAAACCCTGTATCGTTGACTCTGGGTGTCTGTTGAGTCCAGTACTGATGAGGGAGATGCAAGCACTGACTGTTTCCACGTTGGCGACATACCGGGCAGCTATAGACCTCCTCTGCCTTTTGGTCCTGACCTCTCCTTTGGTCCAGGACTTTGCCAGGTTGTGCCAACTATAGCCCCTTTGATTGAATGAGCTGGTGAATCTTTGGGTCTGTCGGCGCTGCAACCCAGTGTTTCCCTTTCACAGGTTGTGTAAGCAGGGCTGGTACTGGGATTGGCATGGAGGGCCTTCATACTAGGAACCTCCTTTGCGCTGCTGCAGTCACAACCACAAATGCTTCCATGGTGGCTTTCACTGCCTTCGACATTGGTACTGTCAGATGCTTTGGTACCGCTGTTGACTTTGGGACTGACACTGCTTCCAGCACCGATGATGGTAATCGATGGTATCACCTCCATCGACAGCCCTGCTTCCTGGGTTGTTCTGAGTGACGGATGAGTCAGACTGCCTCCTCGCTCTCTCTGGTCTGACTCCGCCCTTATCTCTGCAGTCCTGAGGCCCCTCTGCGTCTGAGTCAGGGTTGTTATCCTCCCACTCTCCATTGTCCAGCCAGCATTGAGGGCTGCTGATGGACAATCATGGGTACCAGGATTAGCATGCATCTCATGCTTGGGATGGAGGTCCCTGGCCCGCTGCG